AAAACAAAAGGAAGCGCGGGTGCATCTGCCCATGTTCTGGCGCCAAGTTCATTCTCATTTTGCACATTTCTTCTCGTTGGGCATGTCTGATTTCTTTTTTTTTTTGTTTGCTGAATGTTGTATGTATTTTTGTGTTTTTGTAACTTTTTTTATTTTCCCGTGATGTACTACCGATTGTCCGAGGCTCGGCAAAAAAGTCCGAGGCTCGGGAAAGATCGGCCTACCCGTAGTCCGAGCCTCGGACTTGATAGCTGAGCGAGGTACTGGTGGTTGTACTTGGCCCATATGTCGGCTGCGGGGCGTTGTCGCTAACGCCCCGCAAGTTTCGGAGGCCCGGGGTACCGGACCTGAAAGGCTGATGCTGCCAGCCAAAACAATTTTGTTTTGTTTTGCTGGCCCGGCGCGAAACGGCCCAGGGCATATTCAGGCTCCGCATCTATAGCTGGGGCAAGTACTGGTACCGATCAGAGGTATCAAGGGGACTATCACTGCAACATGCATCCCCTCAGATGGCTGGAGGGAGGCAACTAAGCTATGTTTGCAGGGGTCCCCTGTATAAGCCTTAGGAGCAGTGGTAGGTCGGTAGAGAAGGCGAATTGAAAGAATTTTGAAAGATGATGAAAGATTGGAGAGAAGAATGTATAGGCCCAAGAGTCCAAGGGAAAATAAAAACCATAAAAGGGCATCCCCCTACCTTAGGGCAAGGCTCGACTTCCCTCAGTTCGTTCCTGGCCATGGATGCTCTTGGCGTAATCTACGGTCAGTAACTTCCTCTTTTTCTTAAAAACTAAGCTATATTCTTCTCCGAATTTCACCGTTCACTATCTACCTACCACTACTAAGCCTATACAGATCGGCGGCGGTTTTTTTTTTTTTTTTTGATTTTCCTTTTCAGTGTGCGCGAGCCCTTCGAGGGCTGCTCTTCCGCCCGAGTCTGGCGGTACTTCGCTTTTCGTTGAACTGCCTCCTCCTCGGCACTTTCCTGGGCGACAAGTCCCATCTATCTGCCCCTCTTCCTCTTCCTGTTACCGGAACTCCACCTTGGCTCGTGCGTATTGCAGCCTTCAGTTACTTCACGCGTCGACTGGGGAGGGGGAGGAGGAGGAGGGGGGAAGGCGGGCAGGCGGGCAGGCGGGCGTTCCTTCCTTTCGTGTCCCAGAAGGTGGAACTGTTGCGCGCGCAGCGGTACTCTCGTGGTGTCGAGCGGTTTTTCAACGCCCACGCAGCAGTGGATATTGGCACACGTGGCAATGCCGGAGGCTTTCTGGCGGGAACGCAAGGCTTCTCAGTCAGTTACACGTGACAACGCCTGGATCAAGGTCTGTAGATGAGTGAGGTAACACGCAAACGAAGTTTCGTCGCAGATTATGCTTGCCGCCGCACCTTCCCCTCTTTTCTCTCGCTGTCCTCTTCTTTCTTTCCTCATCTCTCTCCTCCACCTCTCTTTCTTCTCAAGTCTCTCTACCTCCAATCCCCATTTCTTCGTGTTGCTGCTCCTACCACCTTCATCGCTGGTGTCTTCCATTTCAGACTCTGTAATCCGCTGATGTGGCTCCTTAGATTACCCTTGATCAACGGCCGAAAATGCCTCCGGCCCCTAAAACAAGAAAACATTTATCGGTCCGATGATGATATTTTTCATCAATGATCGTAAATGACTATTTGAATGTTGGTACATGCATTCTCTCGTTCCCTCCCCGCACCCTACGCCTTACCCTCTCCCTCCCCACTCCCCCCCCCCCCCCCCCCCCCCCCCCCCCCCCCGTCTTTGCTTTGGCTCGGTAATTAGTTTACCCGCAACTGTTTGATGAATGACTGTGTTCGTTATTCACTAGATCGAGGGATGCTAATCGACAAACGAGCAACAGGAGGAGAGAGGGATTCCCTGATCGATTGTGTGTGTGTGTGTGTGTGTGTGTGTGTGTGTGTGTGTGTGTGTGTG